CACCCACACCCTTTCTACGGGTTTAGAAATTAGAAAAAAACAGGATTTATACCCATACTTGTCTATTTTTGCTTTCAGTTCTAATGCATACATACAATGAACAGCAATAGATTTCCATTGAATGGCTTATAAAACGAGAACAGTTCGACAGGCTAACTGAAAATTTTCAGATGTTTCACCAAGGATGTCGATTCAGTATTAAGCTTACACTGATTCTCAAAACTCATATTCATATCCGCAATTTGTATCGCTGATAAAAATTTTCCATGACCGCTGCGAAAGATGTAACAATCTAATATTCTGCTTACCGTTGTTATAAAAACGAGTTTTTGCGGTTCTCCTCCCATCATTACAAAAATTAACTATTAAAAAGTATAATGAAAATATGACAGAACAAATTTAAGAATAGATAAGGAACAATTGAAAAAAAACTTTTCATTTTATATATTTTAACCGTTTTCTTGTGATGTCAATGATTTATTTCATAAACATTGTTTTTATTTCATAGCGAAGGACACAATACTACTGAACCAGTACCAATCAATCGAAATGTCAATGACAATCAGCAGGAAACATATGTAACATCACATTATACTTGGGTAGTCAGTAGAGCTGCTCACAATGTTAGAGGTCAGTAGCCTTTGAATTTTTGTTATAAATTTTGACGAATAAAATACCATAAAGACTTTCAATATTGTTTTAAAGAATATCCAAAGCTAATATCCATTTCAAATATGAAGGTCCCATAGTTTTAATAGGAAAAGCATAGAGATCTATTATTTTCACCATCTGAATTAGTACATTCAAAGTGATAAAATCATAGATTACTTATTTTCTTTTCAGTCAAAAGTTATTCAAATAATTCGTAGCACATCATCTTTTCAAAGGTATCATAAGTGTCTAAACTACGATCAAATATCGACAAGCACCAGAAAGTTTTGTGAAATTGAGGACTTTTTTAGAAGTAAAAGAAACTCAACATCGAAATACAAGAAATCGTGAAAAGTACAAAAATACAGTTTTTCTTTCGAGAGTTAAGGAAATACAAGAGTGTAGGGCATATAAATTGGATTTATTATCAATCTTTATAAGTATCAAGCTATTTTAATGAAGAATAGTACGCAGATTTTTTCTTTATATGATCTTCTAGATACTGCACTCTGTCTATTCGGCAAATAGCATTGAGATTAGAAGGAATATAAAAGCTATGGTTTTCTCTTATTCTGCAATGTAATCTCGAGATCTTTTTTTTTGTAATATAATGCTCTATATGTTTTTTTTCTCCAGTAAGGTATCATAGAAAAGTACAATTGATAAAATATCAAACTCCATTGATTAACTACAAAAATATCAGAGAAACTTATATTTATTCAACCTGAACACAACAACGAACATTCTTTTGATTTTGTCACAAAAAACATTTTCTCGAATCAAATATTTATATTAGCTTCACGATCAAAATAAACTTTTTGTATAACTATCAAGCCGAAATTTCGACTATAAAAGTGTGTCTAATAATAAAATCTTCAAGCCTTAATCATTTCATTTAGGGGAGACATTGACAAAACAGAGTTAAAAATGAACTAGTATTCCAATCTAAGTTTCTCCATAATGGTTCGTTCCATATATTGATGCTGTTTTTGTTTTTCGGGAAAATGTACAATTATTTCACTCATCCAACTTTTCTGATTTTGTATTTTCAAACAGAAAAAGATTAAACTAATATTATACTGTGGAGATGAAAAAGAAAGCTTGACATCTTAACAATTACTTTTCATCATAGATTAAGTATTGTTGCTGTTTAAAATTTCATTATAGAAACTACCATTCCCGAGCAGTCATTCTATTCCGCAAAGTTACACATTCCTGCATCGCCGTCTGAATTTCTGCATTCCGCAATTTTTGCACATTCGGAATCTCTAGGAGATGCAGCAATTCCTGGCCATTCCTGCCTATTCCGAAATTACCAATAACTCATGGATGGCAAAATGATCATTTATCGAGCTTGAATAAATGCAAAACAGAATTCCGGAATTTATGCACGTCCGGAATCACTAGGAAATGCAGGAATTCCTGCACATTCCTGCTCATTCCTGCTCATTCCTGCTCATTCCTG